TGCGAACGATCGCAAAGCTTTTCGTTTATATTTTAAATCTGCAGCGTAAGCGTCTGCCTCCTTCTTCAAAGAATTAGGATTAACTTAAAAATATGTGATGAATAAAGTTCAGTTGCATTTAAAGCTTAAATCAAGAACGTTGTCACTTCATGGTGATGCTGCCAGTGACATGAACAGTGAAAAGACAAATATATAAATATGTGATTGAAAGTTGGACATAACATATTGTAACAAAGTGAAGTTTCTGCTAGTACCAACATCAACGTCACAAACGAACAATCAAGATGGCAATCATCATCTACGGAATCAACGTGTTGCATGTTTGAAACTGCATAAACATATAATAGCGCTGAAACCAACGTGTTGGGTCTATAAAGGTCAAAGTCGCTACAAGAAACGCTCAAAGATCCTGCTGCGGGATCACGGCCGTTGTCCATTCAAGAATACAGGGCAAGGCAACGGTCACAACAAATTAAAGAGCAACAACAACAACGACAACATGAAAAGAAAACGGCAATACCGATCGTGCGTCCACCTAGAAGAAGAGGTGGAAAAAGGAATAAACAGCTACGGCGGAGGGCGCATCTAAAAGAAGAAGTCCAAAGGAAGCACACTCCAGAAGAGCTGAAGGAGATCTTTAAGGAGTTGCTGGAACTGGAAAAGGAATTGGCAAGCAGAAAGAAGACGCCAGCAAAGGAGTGCTGAAGAAGCATCCTACGTAAAAAAAAAATATTTTTAGATTTCTCTTGCAACCGTTGCGAAAACGCAGTTTGCAAGAACATCAAACATGTAATTCAATCTCACACATAGGGACGATAGGTATTACAAATGAAATTATTGTAAATAATTTACCTTTAAATTTTTAAAAAAAATTTAATAAAAAGTAACTAAAAAAGTAGATTTGTGTTAAAATGTTATGTGTAGAGACTGAAATAAATTTAAAATAATTGTATATTCAAGAGAAAAGAAGAATATAATAATTCGAGTGGCAACAAGGCCAAATAATAAAACGTGTACTTTTAAAATTCCATTGTGCGAGGAAGNCATTGTTGCAACACAATAACAACAAAGTAGCATGCCCGTCCGGCGTATATTTATTAATTACATTTTGATAAACGTTCTGCGCATTCAGCAATTCTAGCGTGCGAACGATCGCAAAGCTTTTCGTTTATATTTTAAATCTGCAGCGTAAGCGTCTGCCTCCTTCTTCAAAGAATTAGGATTAACTTAAAAATATGTGATGAATAAAGTTCAGTTGCATTTAAAGCTTAAATCAAGAACGTTGTCACTTCATGGTGATGCTGCCAGTGACATGAACAGTGAAAAGACAAATATATAAATATGTGATTGAAAGTTGGACATAACATATTGTAACAAAGTGAAGTTTCTGCTAGTACCAACATCAACGTCACAAACGAACAATCAAGATGGCAATCATCATCTACGGAATCAACGTGTTGCATGTTTGAAACTGCATAAACATATAATAGCGCTGAAACCAACGTGTTGGGTCTATAAAGGTCAAAGTCGCTACAAGAAACGCTCAAAGATCCTGCTGCGGGATCACGGCCGTTGTCCATTCAAGAATACAGGGCAAGGCAACGGTCACAACAAATTAAAGAGCAACAACAACAACGACAACATGAAAAGAAAACGGCAATACCGATCGTGCGTCCACCTAGAAGAAGAGGTGGAAAAAGGAATAAACAGCTACGGCGGAGGGCGCATCTAAAAGAAGAAGTCCAAAGGAAGCACACTCCAGAAGAGCTGAAGGAGATCTTTAAGGAGTTGCTGGAACTGGAAAAGGAATTGGCAAGCAGAAAGAAGACGCCAGCAAAGGAGTGCTGAAGAAGCATCCTACGTAAAAAAAAAATATTTTTAGATTTCTCTTGCAACCGTTGCGAAAACGCAGTTTGCAAGAACATCAAACATGTAATTCAATCTCACACATAGGGACGATAGGTATTACAAATGAAATTATTGTAAATAATTTACCTTTAAATTTTTAAAAAAAATTTAATAAAAAGTAACTAAAAAAGTAGATTTGTGTTAAAATGTTATGTGTAGAGACTGAAATAAATTTAAAATAATTGTATATTCAAGAGAAAAGAAGAATATAATAATTCGAGTGGCAACAAGGCCAAATAATAAAACGTGTACTTTTAAAATTCCATTGTGCGAGGAAGGACAAAATGTAGGTCAGTACAATTTAGAGAAATTAGGAAAATAGTCAAAGCGTTAGAGAACATAAACTTAAACTGCATAGACGCATATGTGAGTCCGGAAGAAGCCAGTACATTGTTTGTTGGAGGTATGTATAGGAAATTAGATAAAAAAGAATTTTTTTTTTATCCCTTTGCTTTAGGAAAATATAATGGGGGAAGACAGAATCAAAAGTCGCCGATAACAACGGCAACGTTGTAAATGAAATCGAAATAATAGAAACGCCAAAAGTAACTAACATTTTGCTAATTATTCTTTTAACAATTGTTCTGACAAAATATCTAAAAAGAGTCGCCTCGATTGAACAGATATAATGAGCCCATGGGAAACTCGTTTCGTCAGTTTCTCATTATCTCGTTAATTGTTCTCCGCGCCGGACGTCCAGTAAGTGTTGTTGTTGGTCCAGTAAGTGTTGTTGTTGGTCGGAATATTATTATAGTTCATCGTGTAAGTTGCTAGTGTGGAACATTTAAAAAAGTAACACTGAAGAAGTGACGTTTACTGTTTCTGTTGATTATCGTCTTCGCATTTCGCATGAAATGAAACATGAGTGTTGATGAGGAGTTCAGTGCCGTATACGGACAATATTTCCATGAAAAGGATGATGAAAACGATGATGAAAACTATGAAGAGAGCGATGATGATGAAGACGANAGATTAGATTAGATACGTTTTTCTAGTGTATAATCATGTCTTTATAGCTTATAACTCAATGTATTTTGTTCATTACCAATAAATTATATTTTGTCGTATTTTTACTCTTCTTTCTCTACATTTTTAGTACACTTCTAAGCAAATTAGGATTTTCTGCTTTTCACCACGTGAAAAAGCATCTCATCTTCCATCCGAATCAACCAAAAAGTGAAAATTGATTTTTTGACACCTAAGCCCCCTTTCCGTAGACCAGGTCACATATTAGTGATGGCTTGGGAGCAGAATTGGCCAATAAATACAGCACACAAGCAGCGGCCAAGGCGAAGACCAAAAACTGCACTAACGAAACTAATGGAGCCAGGCAATTTTAATAATATGAATGAGGCCGTCTCAAAATTTGTCAATAGCTGCACAGAAACAACTGGGCAGCAAAACACAAGAATGCTCCTAAACAAGAACAATAAAAGAACGAACCAATATGGGAATAACAATAGTAGAGGAAAATACAACTATAACAATCGCAATCACTCCCGTGGACGCGGAGGTTATGGAAACAACAATTATTATAGCAATAAAGGACGCTATAATAATATGCAATATCAAAGATGTTATAGATCAACCGGAGGACGAAGTAGTTATCAACCACAAAATCCAAACAACAATGTCCGTTTAGCAACGGCACAAAGTCCGGAAAACCAACCAGAGCCCTACGAACACAATAAATATATATAATTTAAATTTAAACCACAGCATTTTTGTAAAATTAAAGATACCAGGAAGTAATAAACTACTAAAATTTTTAGTAGGCACAGGAGCAGAAATATCATTATTAAAATATAATGATTACGTATCGCGACACCAGTTAAATACTTAAACTTTTAATATACAACGCTTTTATAAATGGACTAAAAAGTAGAAAATAATACTTCTCAGTCCCATAGAATTTGTTTTGATAACTTTTGATTTTGAAATTTTAGCAAAAGTCATTATAAACAATTAATGACATTGAAAACGAAAAACGTGGAGCGCATGCAGTACAAAGCATTCGATTTCATTGACAATAGTCAAACTACATAACATTCTACAGCGAAAGTACAAATTTGAGATCGATTTTAAGCGGTCGTTATTCATATGCCCACATACATACATATGTTACTTTTCATATCAATTCAAGTGTATTACATGCGCCCCACGCTTTTCATTTTCAATGTCATTAATTGTTTATAATGACTTTTGCTAAAATTTCAAAATCAAAAGTTATCAAAACAAGTATAATGGGACTGAGAAATATTCACCCTCATTGCGGGAGTCGTTTCGAATGCAATTCGTTTTTCGAGAGTCGAATCGTATCGAAAATTTCACGTCATTGCCTAAAATTTCCACTCGACTAGTGTATTAAAACGGAAAAACTTGGCAGCACTGTACAATTTTCGACAATTTTCGTCGTTTATTTATTTCAGTACAACAGTAGACAATGCCAGTGTTGTCGAGTCGTACAATTTAGCCTAATTTGCGACTTACACAATGAGGCTGATTATTTTCTAATTTTAGTCCATTTATAAAAGCGTGGTACATTAAAAAGTTTTTTTTTTAAATTTATTTTATACTTTTTAGTCTTGTCTGTATAAAATTTTGCAATAGATACTAAAATAATTCAACTTGCAGTGTTAATGAGAAAGTGGAGAGGGAAATTGTTGCTTCCTTTTATACGTGACTTATATTTTAAAAGAGTATATATATTACGCAAATACCTCGCATAACTACTCATTTAAATTCGTTTTTGTATCTAAATCCCGTTAAACTAATCATATTTTCTTGCCAGCTACCAACAGGGTTGCTTAATAGCAAAAAGGAAATTTTACCCGAGTTGAGCGTTCTTTTGTCGCTCGCTTACAAAAAAAAATGCAGCTAGTATAAATGGTGGTCTGGACATACAACATTCAAAGCGGTCTGAGCATACAACATTGCAAGTTGATAAAAGCGTTGTAAAATAATAATATATCTCAGTCCTATAGAATTTGTTTTGATAACTTTTGATTTTGAAATTTTAGCAAAAGTCATTATAAACAATTGTTATTGACCGATTTTAAAAATTTTCGTCCTTTTCGTATGTTATACCAAGGCCAATAAGTGTGCCAAGTTTGGGAGAAATTGGGGCAGCGGTTACCAAGATATACACCTGTAACCATAAG